TTCTATATTTCCATTGTTTCTTTTCCCTTGTATTTCTGTCTGCCATTTCAGTTTGGTGGTTTCCTGTGATGGTTTTCTGAGTTTTATCTTTATTTATGATTTGTGATTCTGCTCTGATTTTTTGCTTTGTGGTTACCATGAGGTTTGTATAAAAGATCTCATAGATGAGATAGTCCATTTTCAGGTAGCCTCTTATCTCCATTAGCTTATGCAGGTTCCATCTCTTTCCTCTTCTCCTTCTATGTTTTTGTTGTCACAAATTATTCTCTTTTATGTTGTAAGTTTGTGACCAAATTGAAGTGTTTATAGTTATTTTTGATACTTTCTTTCCATTTATCCTCTATTTTATAATTAAGTGTTTGCTAACCTATTCTTATAGATAACTGCAATTTTCTGATTTTGTCTGTTTATCTCCTTACTCCAAGCTTTGTAAACCTTTGCCTTTTTGTTTCTGGTAGGAGGGTTCCTTCATCATTTCTTATAAGGCAAGTCTAGTGTCTAAGAACTCCCTCAGCTTTTGTTTGTCTGGGAAAGCTTTTATTTCTCCATCAGTTCTGAAGGATAATTTTGCTTGATAGAGTATTTTTGGCTGATAGTTTTTGTCTTTCAGTATTTTGAATATATCATTCCACTCTCTCCTAGCCTGTAAGGTTTTTGCTGAGAAATCCCCTGAAAGCCTGATGAAGGTTTCCTTGTAGGTTATTTTCTTCTCTCTTGCTGTGCCTAATATTTTTTCTTTGTCAATGACTTTTGACAATTTTAATATTACATGTCTTGGGGAACATCTTTTTGCATTGATGTAATTAGGAGTTCTACTAGCTTCATGTACTTGCATGTCCAGTTCCTTCTCCCAGTTTGGGAAGTTCTCAACTATCATCTCTTTGAATAAGCTCTCTGCTTCTTTCTCCAACTCTTCTCCCTCTGAGATAACTATAATCCTTATGTTACTTTTCCTAATTAAGTTGGATATTTCTCAAAGAATTTCTTCAAGTTTTAAAAATCTTACTTCTTTCTCCTCCTCCACCTGAATAATTTCTAGATTTCTATCTTTGAGCTCAGTGATTCTCTCCTCCATAAGGTCTGCTTTATTTTTTAAACTTTCTACATTACTTTTTATATCATTAATTGTGTTCATATTGAGAATTTCTGTGTTTTTTTTTTTTTTTAGAGCTTCAATCTCTTTGGTCAAGTATTCCTTCTGTTCATTAACTTTATTCCTGAGCTCATTGACCTGTCTTTCTGAGTTATCTTGTAACTTGTTGAATTTCTTTATGACAGCTATTTTGAATTCTCTCTCAGTCACATTGTAATCTTCTGTGACTTCAAGTTTGGTTTCTGGAGAGCTGTCGTTCTCCTTCTGTCCTGCTGTGTTGCTGTAGTTCTTCATGGTGTTTGATGAATTGATCCTCTGCTGCACATTTGTGGCAGTAACCACATTTCTTTTTTGGGTACAGCTTTGGTTACTTTGGTTGTGAGCTGCTTCTGGTTCTATTTGAGAACCTTCACTTTCTACCCTCCACTCTCTCTGCTAGAGGTGTCTTCAATGCCTCCCTTGTGCCACTTGTGCCTCTGCGGTTGCTGGTGCTTGCTACTTTTGATGTCGTTGCTATCATTGCTGTCTCGATGTTGGCACCAAGGTCACCAGACTGTGAGATCTTTTGCTGCTTCTGGGGTCACCTGGGTCTCATGTTCCCCTACTTGCTCTCCACAGGCTCTCCATGGGCTAGGGTGCTGCTGCCCTATTCACCACCTGCACTGCTGCTCTTGGGTTATCTCAGGGTGCTGGCAGCACCACTGCCAGGGGTGTTGGGTTCACAGGTGTTGCTGTTGCTGTCAGGGGCCCGGGTTCTTGTATGCAGCTTCTGCTGCTAATAGAGCCAATGTCAGGGGTGCTGCCACTTGGGGCTGGGTCTCAGGTTCTGCTGTGGTTCCTGAAGCCTCAGGTTGCAGGTGCCACCTGCCACTGCTAGGGGAGGAGTAGGGGATAAGCCACAAGTGTTGTTGCTGGCCCTGCAGTCTCTGGTCACTGGTGCCTGTCAGTGTGCTTTTTAAGTCCTTAGGTTAGGGCACCCTGCTCTTGCTAGTGAATCATGTTTTGGTTGCTGTCCCCATTGCTAGAGAGACTAGTGCCACTTCAGATGTATAGATACATGGATCAATCAGGTATTCTGGTGTGCTGTACAGGGAGTCCTTTGTTGGCCACTAGGTATCTGACTGGTTGTAACTTAGAGGGGAGAGACAAAGGGAGCAACTTACTCCACCATGATGCTGATGTCACTCTTATTGTTGAATTTTAAGAGTTCTTTGTATAATAGTCCTTTTTCAGGTGTGTCTTTTGCAAATATTTTCTCCTAGTCCATGGCTTGTCTTCTGATTCTCTCAATATTGTCTTTTGCAGAGCAGAAGTTTTTAATTTTATAAAGTCCCACTGATCAATTATTTCTTTAATAAATCGTGTCCTTGGTGTTGTATCTAAAAAGGCATCACCATACCCAACGTCATCATGGTTTTCTCCTATGTTATCTTCTAGGAGTTTTACAGTTTGCATTTTACATTTAGGCCTATGATCCATTTTGAGTTAATTTTGGTGAAGGGTGTAAAGTCTGTATCTAGATCCATTTTTTTGCTTGTGGATGTCTAGTTGTTCCAGCACCATTTGTTGAAGAAGCAATCTTGGCCCCATTGTATTGCCTGTGTTCCTTTGTCAAAAATCAGTTGAGTATTTTTATGTGTGTCTATTTATGGGCTCTCAATTCTGTTCCATTGATCTATTTGTCTATTCTTTCACCAATATCACACTGTCTTGATTATCGTAGCTTTATAATAAGGCTTGAAGTCAGGTAGAGTCAGTCCTCCAGCTTTGTTCTTCTCCTTCAATGTCATATTGACTATTCAGAGGCTTTTGTCTCTCCATATAAACCTTAGAATCAGTTTCACAAAATAACTTTCTGGGATTTTGATTGAAATTGCATTGAATCTATGGATCAAATTATGAAGAACTGACATCTTGATAACATTCAGTCTTCCTATCCATGAACATGGAATATCTCTCCATTTATTTAGTTCTTCTTTGATTTTGTTCATCAGAGTTTTGTTGTTTTTCTCATACAGATCTTGTATACATTTTGCTAGATTTATACCTAAGTATTTCATTTTGGGGGGTGCTAATGTAAATAGTATTGTTTTTAACTTTCAATTCTACTTGTTCATTGTTGGTATATAGGAAAGCAATTGCAGTTTGTATATTAACCTTGTACGCTGCAACCTTGCTGTAATCACTTATTAGTTCCAGGAGTTTTTTGTCAGTTCATTCAGGTTTTCTACATAGATGATCATGTCATCTGTGAACAAATACAGTTTTATTTCTTCCTTTCCGTCTGTATACCTTTTAATTTTTTTTTTTTTTGTGAGGAAGATCAGCCCTGAGCTAACATCCTTGCTAATCCTCCTCTTTTTGCTAAGGAAGACTGGCTCTGAGCTAACATCTATTGCCAATCCTCCTCCTTCCCCCCCCCCAAAGCCCCAGTAGATAGTTGTATGTCATAGTTGCACATCCTTCTAGTTGCTGTATGTGGGACGCGGCCTCAGCATGGCCGGAGAAGCAGTGTGTCGGTGCACACCTGGGATCCGAAACCAGGCTGCCAGTAGCGGAGCACGCACACTTAACCACTAAGCCATGGGGCCTACCCACCATCTGTATACCTTTTATTTCCTTTTCTTGCCCTATTTCATTAGCAAGGACTTCTAGTACAATGTTGAAAACGAATGGTGAGAAGGGATATCCTTGCTTCATACCTGATCTTAGTGGGAAAGCTTCACGTTTCTCACCATTAAGTATGATGCTAGTTGTAAGTTTTTGTAGATAGTCTTTATCAAGTTGAGAAAGTTCTCCTCTAATCCTAGTTTACTGAGAGTTTTTATCATGAATGGGGGTTGGATTTTGTCAAATGCTTTCTGCATCTATTGATATGATCATATAATTTTTCTTTTTCAGTCTGTTGAAGTGATAGATTCCATTAATTGATTTTTGAATGTTAAACCAGCTTTGCATACCTGGGATAAATCCCACTTACTTGTGGTGCATAATACTTTTTATTCTTTTTTGGATTTGATTTGCTATTATTTTCTTGAGCATTTTTGCATCCAATTTCATGAGAGATAGTAGTCTGTAGTTTTCTTTTCTTGTGATATCTTTGTCTGGTTTTGGCATTAGGGTAATGCTGGCCTCATAGAATGAGTTAGGAAGTCTTCTTTCTACTTCTCTCCTCTGAAAGATATTGTAGAGAATTTGCATAATTTCTTCCTTAAATGTTTGGTAGAATTTACCAGTGAACCCATCTGGGCCTGTAGCTTTATGTTTTGGAAGGTTATTAACTATTGATTCGATTTCTTTAATAGATATAGCTCTATTCAGATCATCTATTTCTTCCTGTGTGAGTTTTGGCAGATCATGTCTTTCCAAGAATTGCTCAATTTCGTCTTGATTATCAAATTTGTAGGCATAGAGTTGTTATCCTTCCATTTAAAAAAATATAATATGCCCCTCCACTTCTTAGATAGATGGTAGCAAATTATATAATCTTTTCTCCATCTTGATCCCATCTTAGTAATATGTACAACTTGTCTTTTCAAGGACTGGTAGAGTAATGTGTTTATTTGAACCATGATGAAAAATACCTGTTGACCCCATTGAGTCATAGTATCAAATAGTTTTTTAGCTTAATTACAATATAAATGTTTTTTTTCGTGTACTTAATTTAACCAATGTTGGATCTATGTATGTTGTCTGAGGGTAGAAACCAGGTCTATTTAATTTATCAAATAAAAATTTAAACTCCATTTGTTTTGGGACATTTTAGGAGATTTGGACCTAGCTTTAGGCAAATGGGTATAGAGGTAGGTGCCTGATAAAAGATATAGCTCCCCCCTGTTTATTTTTTGAGAACTACTTTTATTATGTTTGTTTCACAGATATACCTGCATTTTCTTTCCTTCTACAGTCACAGGATTTCATCTGTGGGGAGCAGTAGTGGCAACAGGGGTGGTCTGCACATTCTACTGCACGCTGGTATGTAAAGAACATTTTTTCTTCTGTCACACTACCAACTTGCTTTGCAAAATTGAAAACTTGAATAGTTGTGTGCTGCAGTCTGGGTCATTCGTACCTACTCTCCTACTCCTGCCTCCTACAGTATAACTTTTTTGTGAGGAATATTCAGTCTGGTGTAAAATTTGATCCTTTTTAGAACATTGATCATAACTGAGAATTTTTTCTTTCGTCTGAACCATGCAATGGTCCCTAATCTCGTCTCCTAATTCATCCTTACTGTTGTCAAGTTATTATGGCTGTGCTCATATTATTCTTCAGCTTAGAAATCTAAGATAACTTCCCATTGTCTTTAGGCAGGAGTGACAGTCAAAATATGTAATGACCAGTATGCCATGGGCTCTCATATTATCATAAAAGCTGGTCCTTAGTATCTATGCAAGTGGTGCAAGTTTTATGGTTTCCCTAATAGTCTAGGTCTTAACCCTTTAGTTGCTGGATATTTTATAAGATGGGGTTCTCAAGGAGGAGCTGGTTCAGCCAAGGTCATATGGACTGGAGGGGGAAACTTGGAAAGTTTGTAGCAGTGTCTAGTACAAAGCAATTTCAGTATTCCAACAATTGGTATGACTTTCTATGTATATACTGTTGAATATCAGCCTTGCCTATAGGCAGATATTGCCTTTTGCAATCTGACTCTGAATTTTCTTCCCAACAATCTCCCCATACCACTCCACTTCACTCCAAAATATATATCTGGCCACACTCAACGTACCATGTACTTTGATCTCTCTATACTTTTGCCATGCTGTTTTCACTGCTGGGAGGGAATTCCATCTTTGCCTCTGTTTATGTTTGAAGCTTACATTTGGCTTAAATATCACCTTCTCTTCAAGATTCTCCTAACCTAACCATTTCCCTTGGGTGCACTTCTTGGCCAAGATCCATGTTTTCATTGTTTTTGTCCAGCATATTGTATAAGCATGTAGATGTTTAATGATGTCTGATAGAAGCATTAATGCTAATACGCTTTCCCCTCAAAGGGTGGTCTTAAAGCAGTTATCTGGACAGATGTTCTTCAGGTTGGGATCATACTGGCTGGATTTTCGTGTGTGATTATACAGGCTGTGGTGATTGATGGTGGAATCAGCACTATTCTAAAGGATGCCTATGATGGTGGAAGATTAAACTTCTGGGAGTAAGTAGCTATTTACCTCTTGGTTAATAGAACACTCCTTTTTTTTTTTTGTAAAAATACTCTCTTTATTGAAATAGTAAGTTTACATTAGAAAACAAACACATAAACCACTAAGGATGTGGTACAGAAAAATGAAGCTGGCTAATAAGTGTGTAAGGGGTTTCCACCAGGTTTTTAAGGGGTTAAAACAGTCAGATGGTGCTTAGTTACACTATACTTAGGATGGTGCATCCCCCTGAGAAGGGATTTATAGCAAGAGTATTTTATTTTATTCCAGATATTAAAGTCTGGAATAGGTTGAAGGGTAGGTTAGGGTAATAAGGGAAGAGATAGTGGAGAAATAAGGAAACCTCTTAAGAGAAAAACACTAAAAGACAATGATTCCATTTTGACAGTTCTTTGTTTCAAGCAGCCTAGAAAATTTCTCTTTTGTTATTGGTCTGGTGATGTATACTATATTATTATATATTATAATTATATTTATGTGTAAGTATTATATATTATACATTATATAATATTATATATTATTTCAAAAGAGTTCACTAGAAAAGTTATGGCTGATGCCTCAAGTGTCAGTATAGGACATGATATAACATGTCTTAAACAACCGTTCAGTTTTCCTAAAGAGAGACTAATGGAAAAACTAGATGTTTCACCCCAAATATATCACACAATTTAAAAGAATATTTAAAACACCTTCCCTTTTGGACCAATAGTGTCATCCTTGTACATCATGTTCAGTGTGGAAAGGGGCCCATTTTGACATGGACCGGCTTATTTTCTGTTTAAGCACTCCTACTTTGAGGCAGGCAGACTGAAATCACTGGCAAGAAGAAATAAAAAACGTTTGCATTTTGATGGCTCTCTTCTGGTTTTCTGAAAATAGAGGCTAACATTTGAGAAGAGTTTTTTCAGAAATTGGACAGGGTCAATGTGTTCATTTGCAAGAATGAATTACAGCAAATCAACTTCAACTGTTTTCAGTAATTTGTTTTCCTTTTACCTCAAGATTCAGATTCCAAGGAAGAGAGCCTCCAATTGGCTAAGTTTGGGCATTGTTCCATCCCTTAGCTAGGGCAGAGCAGGATGTTTTGACTGACAGCCGTTTAGACTATTTAATGGAGAAATGGTAGCTTCCCCAATGTAAACTTGGGTTGCTGTTACCAGAAGAGGGAAGAATGGATACCAAGAAGCAGACACAACCAGTGGCTACTAGGGACATCTTGATCATTCCTAAATCTCTTCCTAGTAGGCTAGGTTGAAGGGAGAGGGTGTGGAACCAATCATTTTTCTGCAAGATAACTGTTACTTTATACAAAGAGTACGCATACTGCTGCATTGAAGTGGTAACATATACATCAATAAAAGATTCTAAAAAGTAAAAGATTAGACATTTTTATGATCTTTACTTTGAAGGCTGACAACCATTAAGTAATAATGAAAAGCCTTATTGTATATCCCTTGTTATTCTAATAAGTTTTGAGAGTACGATGGGCAAAATATCTGTTCTGGTGGAGATAAATGAAGAGAAGGATTTTGTGTCGGTATTTTCTGTACAGTCTATAGTTGGTGTATGTATTCTGTTTGGCCTAAAACCACTGAATCTGCTCTTTTAAATCTTGTCTTACTTCCCTCAAGTAGCTCTCTGAATCTTTTGGCTCTTGACTTCAATTCGGTAATATAGTGGCTACCTTCTCTATGGCAGAAGAGGTCAACACCCTTGAAACTCTTAGACTTTGACATCGTGTTAGAGAGTGGAATAGAGGCTCTTATCTTTCCATAGGAATGCCAGAATACGCATAAATTCTGAAAGCTTTATTCAACTGATCTTAAATATAAGATTTGAAGTGAATTTGCAGAAATTCATAATTTTCAGAAAGTTTCCATGAAAGCTAATTTTGCAGAAATTTATCCAGCTTGTATTGTGTATCAGAGATAAACAAAATCATTCCTTCCAAGGTGATACAGTAAGAAGAGTTCAAAGATGTATCAAACATGGGAGTTGAGCTTTCTTTGTAACAATGTTTTGGTCTGAGGTACATGTTATAAAGTGACTTTTAACTATTAATATTTAGCTTGTGCACACAGCATTTTAAGAAATCACAATTTTAATGACATGGTAGTTTTAGAACGTGAAAACCTTTAGACTGCATTAATTGACTGACTTTTTGAGCTTGAATATAAATTAGAACTGTGACTATACATGTGCTAGGAAAGAAATTATACACACAAAACGTGCCAATTTTGTGTTCATTTCAGTACACTATCTCTTGCTGTGGTGCACTTAGGAACCTATTTCTCTCTCTTTTTTCAGTTTCATGCTCTTCTCTGATTACAGCATGGTGGATTTGTTTAAATAATTTCCGATGGCCATAGGACAACAATTTATATAAACACTTGGAATGATTAGAACATTTATTTTCCCCCAATCCCATCCAGAATTTCCAAATCTCTGAAAGTATCAAATTTTGTTTCATTGAACTTAAGTTAGGAATGTTTCTACCTTTTATATTACTTAGTATGTTTGTACATATTTATGTATGTATACATGTTTATATACGTATACATTGCTTGCCTCCAAAAATATTCTTGGAGGATTTTCTGTAGTTCTTTTGCTGATAATTCAGATTTGTTTTCTGTTTCTTTTCATTTAGTTTTAATCCTAACCCTTTGCAAAGACACACATTCTGGACCATCATAATAGGAGGGACCTTCACGTGGACCGGCATCTATGGTGTCAACCAATGCCAAGTGCAGAGATATATTTCCTGTAAAAGCAGATTCCACGCAAAAATGTAAGCCAAACTATGGTATATGGATCTTTAATAACCATCAGTTATCTTTATGGAGACTCTTTCATAAATCAAGTTTTGCTCAGGTTTAAGTCTTTTGTATCATGAAATTCCAAGAGATAAATGGTATACTTACTTACAAGTATTACTTACTTACAAGGATCAAGTAGCACTGTACGTTTCAAATCAGATATTGAAAATATTTATATGAATTATTAAGTAAAATAAATATTATCAAATTAATAGGCATTTATTATGCTTCTGTTTGTATAAGGAACTATGGGGAATAAAAAATTATAAATATAAGGCACTTATTATGAAGAAACTTAACAACAAATTAGGAAAATATATGCAGGTGAAATAACACTAGGGAGGTATAACAATTCCATGAAACAATATAACAAGAGAGGAAGTGTTCCAGAGCATTATATTGCCAGATGTACTGGTGTATTTTATTTTCAGACACAGTCACGGGTTTATAACCCTGCTCTTAATACTTGCTACTTGAGCAATCCTCCATGAGTTACTTAGTCTCTCTGAGCTTTAGTTTCTAAACTTGGAAAATGAGCTTAAGAAATATATATCTCATGGGAGGTATTACAAAATGTGTTTGTGTTTGGAACACACGTAATAGGGGTCCAATAAATATGAATTCCTTTTTCAACCTCAAATCATGGGATGTGAAGGCAGAGGATGAGTGAGAGATTCTTGTCCACCAGGAAAATTCTGAAGAATGGTCATATGTGGGCAGGTGGAAAAGAGTGGGAGGGCATTCTAGGTAAGCAGAGTGATTTGGACAAAGCATAGAGGTTGGAAGGACGACATGTTCAGGGAACTCTCAAGCCTGTCTTGGCTTGAGTAAAGAGTATGAACAGTGGCGGGTTCTTTCTCAAGAGGCCTCAGATCAGCTTGGTGACCACCACTCCTTGTGCTGATAAATAAGGCTGACTTGGCCCACATGCATTTAGGGGCTTAAAAACTCTAAATAGGTTAAGAGTAACAGGGTGTTTGGAGTAGGAGAAGGAGTGGCAATTCTATTTCTATTCAAAGGAGAACATGAAAATTTTGTGATATCACATGTCAGAGCTCAACATATTGAGAGTAAACCGGTTTTAGACATTATTTGTCTTTGTAAAATTCCACAATGAAAGATCTATATGAATATGAGTACAATAACTGGATATGGAATCCCCCAAAAGTGATCTTGAGAATTCTGGTATTTTAAGGAACTTGAAGGAATGTAATTTGTATATCCAGTAATCCACTGGACTTTGAATCTATTCTAGAGCTGATGCCTCTCCCAAAGTAATTGTGCACATGCTCTTCTGCTTCTTTGGGAATGTGAAACTCAAAAAACCCAATTTTATAACTAAAATAACAGCATTAGAGCTTTCTTAATAGGAAGAAATTTCCTTCTGAATAGCCCAATGGGTCTCCTTAACAAGGCAGACTCCCTGAGGTCAGGGGAACCATTTTCTCCTGCTTTCTAACACTGCCTCTGTGAGAAGAATGCATCCCAGCCACAAAGTGAAGACCTACTTACATTAACTGGCCAGGGACAATGTCAGATGTTGATAAGTGATGTATTTGAATAGTGTTCAAGTCAAATAAAACAATATGTTAAAGTATTAAACTCATATATAAGCAAGGGGGGTGTCTGAGCAGGAAAGTGTGTGGGCATATTTTCTGATGATTTGGAGATGAGATACAGTTACTTACACTATTTTTAGACAGTAACACAACGTACAGTAAATTTAGTCAACTCAAGGGAAAGGCTAGCAATCTGTTGTTTGGCAGCTTTTGCAGGGCGGGTCCTCTGGAAGCCGACTCTGAGATGGAGGTTAGCATGCTAGAGTCTATTACCGAATCACCAGCTATAGAAGAGAAGGAAAGGAAAGAAGCAGGATTGGGCAGAGGGAGAAATTAGACAGTAATGCATTCTCAACAGAGGCCTCAGCTGGGATGACTCTTCAGGCTTGTCCCAAGTTAGGATGAGGGACTGGGCCTTTAAATCTTTGATTCCAGAAGTCGTTAGATGCAGGCTGCCCCGGGGAAGGAGGCATGACTCTGGGGGTGGTACCGCTCTTCAGCCTAGGACGGCTCATCACTGTCTACTACAGCACCACTGGGGAAAAAATGGGGCCACTTTAGTGAGGGAAATGTTTACTATTCAGGTGATTATTAAGATGTAGTATTCAATGACATTAACACTAATAACATCAATAACTACCATTTAACAAGTGTTTATTACATGCCAAGCACTGTGCTATATGGTATATATTATTTCATTTAGTCTTAAAACTCTGTGAGGTAGGCATTGTTATCTGTAGGTGTAAATGAAGAAACTGAGGATGGGAGAGGCTAAATTACTTGCCCAGGCTCACATATGGTAGGTAGAGCCGGGATTTATGCTCAGGTCAGACTCCAGTGCCGTCACATGAAACTTTACACCCTATTGGAGCACACATCGTGTGTTATAATGCTGAACAATGTTTGGGAAGATACCTGTTCAAGGAATACAGGTTTGCCTTTCATACCTAATGGGTGGTATTGCAAACCATATTTAAACAAGTTTGATGAGTTGCTATGTAGATGCTAACAATGTTTAGCAGTTTATAATTGCATTACTTTTAAAAGGAAAATGAGTAATAGTTACTGCTCTGTTGACTATTAAAATATTTATTTCATGACCAGAAGCCTGGAAGTAGTATAATTAGATCACATGATAAGGCTAATAATGCTCATGGAACTCTGATCAGGAGGATATATTTGTTCAGTGGGAAAACTCCATCTATTCCAGGTATTTCCAAATACATTGTTGATTGACATCATAAACAGAAAGTTAGGCCAGAATAAAATAAGTAGCATTTTTGATAACCAAAAGATAATGTGTATTTATTGAGTATAATTGTGATGGTCTCTTCTGTTTCTGTAACAAGGTTCCTAGTCTTTGGGATGGAAATTACAATTGTCATTTGCTGGTTTGTTTTCATTTCTTTAGGTCCCTCTACATCAATCTTTTGGGACTCTGGGCAATCCTCATCTGCTCAGTGTTTTGTGGACTCACCCTATATTCTAGGTACCGTGATTGTGATCCTTGGACAACAGAGAAAGTGTCCGCACCAGACCAGGTTCAGTATCATGTCTTTCCTACACATGCATTAATGACATTCAGAAGGCTCATTAATTGGGAGGAAAGAGTGTTCATGTTCTTGGTGAGAAACAGCAAATGGGTACAATATAATCATCTTTAATTTCTATAAAGCATTTGGCAAAAATTTATTTTAGCAGATCCAGCAAGAATGAAGAATGCTGCATCCAAGATTAAAACATTGAAATACCTGGAAAACTTTAAGCCAAGTGTTAAATAGAAATAGCTCAAGGCTGGGAGTAGAAGGGTAAACACAGTTTAAAAAAAAAACTATACACAAACCATGGTACTGTAGAACATTTTGTGGGTATTGTTAGATTGCTCATTTATCAATAGTTACCTTCTGTTTTTTAACTGATAGAGAAACGGATCCAATATGTGAACATTTATTGAGTACCAACTACGTGATGAGATTCTGTGCCAAGAGCTTTGTGTCTTATCTCTTTTCATTCTCACAACCCTGCAATTCTAATTTTATAGATAAGGAAATGAATGAATCTCAGAGAGGTCACATAGCTAATAAATAAGAATAGCTGTGAGCACTCATCACATACTTACCATGGGCCAGGCACTATCATAGTGTTTCATATAAATTTCAACTTTTAATCCTCACAGCTACACTCTGAGGTGGGTGCTATGATTATCTCCCTTTCAGAGATGAGGAAACTGAAGCACAAAGAAGTTAGTAAAGCTAGTAAACCTGGAGCCAGGATTCAAACCCGGGCAGGCTGCCACCAGCGTCCTAACTTTGAACCTCTCTACCATATACCACCTTTCAGAAAGTGGAGCTAGAATTCAAACGCAGGACTGCCTGACGCCAAAGCCTGAGTTCTTGTTCTCAGAGTTCTTGCCAAAATTGTTTTCTAGGACTCACTTGTAAATCAAATGGGGACTCATTAGAATGAAGATAGGGTGAATTTTATGTTGGTGCATACGTATCACATATTCCCAGAAAAATACAGCTTTGCGGGATTAGAAAATGAGAGCATCCTTGAGCTGTGTATCTCAACCTTATCTTAACCCATGCCCTCCTGTTGATAAACTGATCCTTCCTATTAGGTCAGAGAATCCAAGAATCATGTTTACTCTGAAGATGGAGGCTCTCTTCCTTTAATTTTCTCTAATCAAGAATACTTTGTGATTTTTGTCAATCTTTATTGTCCGTAGTTTGTACCATGAAGACAATAGGGATTTAAAAAATGTTTCTAATAAACCTTTCCCTTATCCTGGGCGAAAAGAAAAATCCCTACAACTTCCTAACCTTGAGACTCCTTGTCATAGAATACATTCAGGGGTATTTTGCATACATGAACCTATCACTTAGAGGGTTTTAGATCTCGTTATAACACTAACAATGGAAATTACTTTTGTTTATGTATGGAATACTACTTGAAGTTAAACTTTTAAGAAATCTTGGGAAAATTGGGTCTTAATCTCATATAGAGAGAAGTGTTACTCTCTTTTTCTGTGAATAAAGAATTAGTAAGCTTTGGAAAAGATGGAGAAAGTATTCCTAAAACAATTCAACATGGACCCCTGCAATAGTGGAGGATGTTCTTCTGTATCCCATCAACAAACCATTGTGAAATGATAAGATAGGGCATGCCATCTACTCTGGACTATGGGAGAAGGAATCAATAATGTTTCAATGCAAACGAGAGGACATTTTTCTAGAAAATTATCCACTTAGGACTCTTTTGATTTAAAAATCAGTTTTGTCTAAAGACTGCCATGTAGCACAGTGCTGAAGTCATACGCCTTCCCATCCTTATTTAATATTTATCTTTAAAAAAGTAACTTATCAAAGAGGAAGTTGGTATCAGGAACTTTTTTTAAAAGAAGCAAGTTTCGGGAATTTACTGAGGTTACTCTCCACTGGTCACTATGCCTCATACCATACGCAGCTATTACATTTTTAGTCCCAGGCGGCAACGGAAGTTCACAAAGATAGCCTTGAGTCACGAAGTGAAGTTAAATTAAGTTACGTGAATGCTGCTTGCTTAAGCATAGAGGTCTGAAAATATTTCCTTTAAATTGATTTTTTATTCCAAAGAATGAAAACAGCTACCTTTTTATCGAGCATGTACTCTATTCTATAGACTATATAAGAGCTTTACATAGATTATCTAATTTAACTTTTATAGCAATTCTACGAGGTTAGTATTATTACCCCTGTTTTACAGATGGGGAAATTGAGGCTCAGAGAAATTAAGTAACAAGAGCCACATCTGTCGGAATCCAGAGTCTTCACCTTTAACTACTGTGCTATTCTTTTCTTTAAATGTTAGCAGTTAAAGAGTTTAATTTGAGGTATTTGGAAATTTCATTTATGTGGAATAGCTTCCTTTAGTTCTTGAAGAACACAAGATAAATGAGGCATTAATTAATTTTATTCAATAGCACATAATACTCAGGAGTAAATTTTGGAATTTTCCAGCTCATGCCTTATTTGGTACTAGACATTCTGCAAGATTATCCGGGACTTCCTGGACTTTTTGTGGCCTGTGTTTACAGTGGAACATTAAGGTATGAACTCTGACTCTAATAATACATGGTTTTCCTATTGGGATCTTTCTTTTGTTATGGGATATTTTGGGGAATAAAGATGAATTCTGGACATGGGCACAAATGGCCCAATGTAAACAATCTACTCCATGTATCGTCTCTGTCGGTCTGACTCTTATCTCTATGGGCTAGCAGTCTGTTATCATCAGTCTTCACTTTTAACTTGGTCCCTACTATCTAATACACTATCACATACCCTGTAGGGTCACAATATTGATGATCAGTTGATGGTAGCTTTCACTGTTTCTCAAAAATGGGTACCTACAGTCTTGGTTTAAAATGTACATGTGGCTAAAGCATGGTCAAATGGAAAATTAGAACTAAAATCTCCTATTTAGATGCTGAATAATATACAGTGTCCAAAGAATCTTGTTTTGTGTTTCAACTTATTCATTGCACTTCCTGTGTTTGCTCCAGGGAATTCTTATTATTAATATGTACATCATATGTTAGTGAGGATCCATGAAATTAATATTATTGACATTTATGGCATATGTTAGTGAGGACTTATGACAGTCCTTTCTATGTACAAAGAAAAATATGTTTTAAAGTTGTTATATAATAATACTGCATAATCTATGTAGATTCTTTCCATAGATACTGAGGATTAATTGCAAAATGGAAGCAACGATAAATTATCCTGTCTGACTACTAAGTTTATGAATGTTGCCTGAATTATTCTTGGATGATAACTGCTTCCAGAAAGAGGATGCTGTGATCATTAAAAATAATATAATAGAAATCTGGTTATATTTAAGAAGTAACAATTTGTTTTCCCCTTTCTCATTCCTGCTTAAAGTATTATTAAAGTTAAAATATTATAAATCAAATATTTTATTTTCCCTTACAGCACAGTGTCCTCCAGTATTAATGCCTTAGCAGCAGTAACTGTGGAAGATCTAGTCAAACGTCGTTTCAGATCGCTCTCAGAAAGATCTCTCTCTTGGATTTCCCAAGGACTGAGTAAGTTTCCATTTTTGCAATTCCATTTTAGCTCTGGGAAATGATTTTTAGAGATACCAGAAATTCTTTTCCATAGAAGATATAGAGTAAGAACCTCTCAGTTTGAATGTATATACATATATGCATGCCTATGGCTTAATGCACTCATGGCCAGATTTGCAATCAAGATTTGAGAGACACGTCAAACAATTGGTTGTCAGGGACCACAAAGAACAGTTTCCAGGGGTCCTATTTGGCTGCCCTTCTTTCCTACCTTCTTCCTATCCCAAATCTATGTTAAAATCCTTAGCCACAGAAAAAAATTCAACTCTTTTCCTTTTCAACTTTAGGCCACAGTTTTAAGAAATATCCTTAGTTTGGAACCAAGAACCACACTTTTTCAATATGACCTAAGAAAGTGCTGTCAGTTTAAGGTGCATAGTCTGTGTGTATGAATTGAAGATAAAAGAACAGCGTTATGATATTTGACCCAGCTTGATTGTCAGTTCTGTCTGCACACGTAGACTGTCCCGGGGGTGGTCTATAAAATTGTGCAAGGAATGCTCAACTTCTATTCTTAGATTATAGAACCTTATTTGGGGTTAAATATCAGCTTGAATGGGAAGGTTTAAAGGCCTCTAGTTCCCAGATGTCCCAAATGTAATATCTGACTCAAAAAATTCTGGCTGGTATACTTCATTCTTCATTTTGGCATCTTGGATATATGTGTTTTAGAATGAATAGAAAATTTTTTTTTAAAAAAGAATCTTTAACTTCAACGCAATAACACTAATAGACTGTCAAAGAAATAGTAAATAATACTCTGTTTTGAGCCATAATTCTATATATAATTGCCGGGACTATTGCCTGGAATAAGTACTTAATTTATATTCTTCATTGTCCCCTAAATTTAAATAGCATTGCATTATTTTACCTGGTTTTAATCCTGGAGCATAATTTCAGAATGATACAATGCTTCCTAAAGAATATTTAGACTGGCTCATTATGGGATTAATGAAGCTGGGTGGTTTAGTAGAATGAATAGAAGCTTTTGAAGCCAGATAAGCCCAATCTTGCTTCATCAGTTTACTAGCTGTTGTATTTGAGAAAACCCAATAACTCATTTGAGCCTCTGTTTCTCTATATGGAAAATGGGAACAAAAAATATTCACCTTTCAAGGGTACTATGAAGTTTAGAGATAATGTAACTTAAACAAGAGGCACTAGCTGGTGCTCAAGGAATGATGCTACTCATAATTAATAAATCAGCTCTGCTAGTGTAGATGAGGTTTTCATTCGTTTTGAAGGGTTATATAAAATCATTATCTTGAGATATGTACAGTAAGGACTTCAGAGAAAAGAACATGGCAGATGATTTGAATGTGTTTCCTATAACTTTGAATAGCAAAAACCACAGTGGTGACCATTCAGGAGCTATCAAATGCAGAAGAATCAAGCTAAATATGTTGGAAAGGGCCGGCCCCGTGGCTTAGCGGTTAAGTCGCGCGCTCTGCTGCTGGCGGCCCAGGTTTGGATCCTGGGCGCGCACCAACGTACCGCTTCTCCGGCCATGCTGAGGCTGCGTCCCACATACAGCAACTAGAAGGATGTGCAGCTATGACATGCAACTATCTACTGGGGCTTTGGGGGGAAAAATAAATAAATAAAATTATAAAATAAATAAATAAATATGTTGGAAATACTGTGGATATTAGGATTCAGAGGCACAAAAAATCATCAAGAGCTCTTTTCAAAAAGTGAATGTAAGGTTTTCCATTCAGGTGCAATAAGATTATTTACCCAATATACTTAACAAAGGTGTGAGTGTATAGGAGTAAGAAAATATAAGAAATACACTAATTTTATGATGAGAAAATTTCTCATTCGTTTTTTCTATTCTTTGAGTTTTATGTGTGGGAAATTATATTGACTGATTTCAGGTGATTTTTGCTGAATAGAAGTCTTTGAAAATAAATTTTTTTGGGGGGGTAGTTTTTCTATAATTTAAAAAGTAAAACAAGTACTTGGAGAAAATCTGGAAAACACTGAAAGCCAAAAGAGAAAAGAAAAATCCTGTCATCTGACCACCACTGGTGGCTTGAGGATTTCTATAAAGATGTTTTGGGAAAACAATTTAGTAGAAGGGGAAATATAACACTTGTCTTGGAGCTACCTTTCTTTGCTAGTTTAACAGAAAAGGCTTGAGGGTGTTGATGGAGATTATGAGAGGGTTAAATGTCCTAAACCAGCCCTTGGTGTGGATTGCCACTTCCCAGGAGAAATGAACACTTAAAGTCAGAAGACTCTAATTTCTGATATTTATTACTCCCCTCCCCCATCATGCTGTGCTGAGCGGAGCTGAATTGTGTCCTATTTTTGGCAAACTGAAAACAGAGACTTGAGCCTTCCTTTATAAACAAATGTTTATGATGGGTTAGATTAATAGCACAATAGTTCTTAGCTTTAAAATCCCTGCAGTTAATTCTAGGGATTCTTTACTTATATAACCTAATGTTAGGTCATTAATCATTGTGTCATTAATCCTGGGACACAATATCAGGGTTTTCTTTTCTCTTTGCACACTGCTGATCCTGTAGGAAAATACCCATTTCCTTTTTTTTGCTGGCTCTGATGTATGTGGCCATTCTTCACCACAGTCATATTACTCATTTTGAATCAAAGGTGTGGTAGCTTGTTCTATTGAGAATTCTAATCCTCTGGGTCTGGATTTTCCTCTGGCTTTTACATTGTCTATCTAGGCTTGCTGTTTGGAGCCCTGTGTATTGGAATGGCTGGAGTGGCATCACTAATGGGAACTTTGTTGCAGGTAAGAGCTGACCCTCGAAGGTTTGAGTCATAATCACTACATTTTTCTTTTTCTTTTTAAAGTTTATGAGATCATCCTTCCAGACTTCTTTATATATATATAT